GTGACCAAAGGTAAAGTTACAGCACTTTTGTTTAGTATTCTTGAAATAACTTCGCAAAATAAATATGCTAAAAATTGCACTTGAGTTTTCGATGAAAATATTCAAGGAATGCAGAGAATAATTCTTTGAAGTATTTGGATAGTGAAAGATTAATATTTACAATTCAATTAATAAACACTCTTAATTGCCATCCAAATGCTTCTTAAATAATTCTCAGGTGTTAGTATTTACATTGAAAATGACATTGATGACTGATGAGGGGGACTTGGTGCAAGTGGATGGAAATCATGGCGTGCGTTTTGTTCCCTAAATGTTTTGCATTCGATTTTCTTTCCAATAATTACTGCTAGTTCAATTAAAAATCCTTAAATAACATAAAGAAAGAAAACCTTTACTTTACCCCAAATGCCAAAATTGCGATTGAAAAATCTCGGTAAACGTAAGTTTATTTCTTCTGGACGTATTCCGTAGTATTAAATAGTTAACTTTGTAATTATTTTCATTTTCAAGTAAAAAAATAGCAGAAATGATTTGAATAAATTTAAACACCGCGATAGTAACGGATCTCACTTTTAATTATAATTTACATGTGTTGAAGTTCTTATAATAATAATAATTAATAGAATAAAATTTATACATAATTTTAAATGATATACTTATAATTTTACGTTGTAAAAATAAAAGCACTTTATACTCTCATTCTATAATAATCCGAACCATGTCATTATGGTCTTTTACAAATCTGTTGTTTTATCCATTCATATGCCAAGCACTAAAATATAAATAAAACATCTGTGTTGACTGAGTCATCAAATAATTAACATAACCAAAAATACGGCACCAATATGTAGAATGAAATATACATTCATTCTGCACATTCATACCATGTGTTTGCAATGTTAATCTTGATTCAGTCCATGTGTATGTTTTATTGATATTATAATGGTTTGATTATATTCGTCTGTTAATAAAGCCGGTCACGTAAAATAATTGTTAGGATCTCATATTTCATTGAGCATTCCTAAAATAAAATATTGCGGAAATGAATCTCTCCGTCCACTCGGAAAATGCGCATCGCGAATTTCTCCCCTGAAGAGTTGCAAGAAGCCGTATCCCTCGCTTAATGCCCCCGCGTAAGTGAGGAACCGCAGACGAAGGGGGCCTCTGGTGACGCAGCCGTTCGTCAGATGTTCGCCGCGCCTCCCGCGTGGGCGGCGGGGGCGTACGAGTGCGCGACTACACGTGTGAGCGCGCGGCGGAGCGGAGCGGGGCGGGGACGGGGGCGGGGACGGGGGCGGGGGCGGCGCGCGTCCCGTTAGAGCCGGCTAATGCGCGCAGAGTCGGGTGCCGCCCCCGCGCTTTCGGCGCCGCCCCCCGTCCCCGCCCCCCGCCGTCCACGCATTCCTGCTCCGCCTACTGCAGCCTCCGCCCGGCTTTTGCTCGATCGCGCAGCTGCCTGCCCCGCACTCCGCCTCGACCAACCATTCCGTTGCGGGTTACTTGCTCAAATACTACTCGCCTACTATGCAGAGTTATGTAATGCTGCAGTGAGAAAAACAGGGAGTTTTCAGCAAGAAAAATCGTGTTGTAGGTTACTGATAGTGAAAAAATGGATAATTATTCAAGACCCGTTCCTATATGGATAAATTCATTCCTCTATTAAGTTATGTCGTTGGAATCTATTTTTATGGGTTCGTAATACCGTAGAATTAGTATAAGCCAAACGGTTTGAAAGTATGTGAACGTCTATTCATCCACCCGTCTGTGAAAAATGACATAAACCATAGGCCGGATTTTCTCCAAGTGATATTCTTCGATTCATTTACCTTCTATCACGAGCTGTGCAATGTTAAACTGATAGTTTAAATTATGTGGGTACTTGACCTGAAGCCTCAAGGACAGTTTCACATTTTCTCAAAAATAATTCCTAATTTTGCATCGAATAGAGAAGAGTACAATTATAAAATTTCGCAGGTCTGATGTTTGTTGTTCTCTAAATTTTTGAAAGATCTTCAACTACATTTTTAATTAATGTTATGTTGTTTTTTTGAAAATGAGAGTAGATTTTGCGAATTTTTGATTGACCGTTACAAATAATGCGAGGAAGAATATGCTGTTGTAACACTAGTGTATCCTGTCAACGACGCGCTGGATGTTACCTTCCAGGTGATAGTCTTGTCTTTAACTCGCCACACGCAGCACACTTAATTTTAACTCATTTTCAGTGCCACATCTACCATTATTTCTCGTTCTTGCTTACGTTGCTCGTCCCTTCTTTTTCTTCTCTTCTCCCGTTTCTTTCTTTTCTATTCATTTTCTCAACTTTTCGTGCGGCGCGCCTTTTCATATTTCGCTTCCGTGGAGCTCCTCGTGAGCCGTGGCGGTGCCTCGCGCCGCATGACGAGGGCAGTGCCGGCCGGCGATTGGCATCGGACGGCGCCGACTTGCTATCGGGGAAGCTCCCGAAGCGCTGTCGTTTCCTTGGCTCGCCGCCGGAGCAGCACTCTCGCCTTCGAACGTGATTACCTTGAACATTTCATGCGATTACTCGTGCAAAACCCTTCGTGGCAGTATCACGTAAGAAGTTAAGTATAGCTGCCTCTGATTGAGTAATGTTCAAAGATACTAGTGTGAAAATAATGAATGTGCTTCTGTTACATTGTACAGTTTATTTATTGTTCCATTAGGACGCGAGTGCTTGAATCTCTGTGGGCCGCGCTCGCAGTCACAAGAGTTCTTCTCCGCAAGAAGTCATATTTTACCATCTATTTACAACGATCAGGTACAGATGTACGCTATCATTTGTAATGCTGATTTTTTATTGCTTCATGAACATAAAAAAATATGAAAAGCATTCTTCTAGTTTGGAATATTTTCATATCAAAACTCTCTTCAGAACTGCTGACATCAAAGGAGCTAACAAACAGTTGTCTGTCTAATAAACATGCTGTCTGATAAACAGTTATTAGATAATTTTCTGGACAAGCGTACACCATGTAAGTATTTTATTTTTATTTTTGTTTTCTTAGTACGAAAGTAGTGCAACTTCATAAATGTATAATACTTTGGTGACATTAAATTCTAGAATATGGAACGTGGGTTTGTGCCAGTAATCACAACTTAATAGAACTGAAAACCGGCAGGTACCAGATCACAGCCAAAGAAAATGGGATAGCATTACGTTTTTACACATAGACTTCAAAATTTTTTGTGCCTATTTCTTTGATTATCATTTTATAAGAGTTCAGGATTTTTCGAATCTATGCAATGAAAGTTATATTCACAAACGTTAGTTTTTCAAACTTTCATAAGCTGGCAGAACTTTCCAAATTTTGTTTACATAAACGTTGCAGTAGCAACATTGAAGCAGGAGAATTAGATGTGGTCCCAATGATCATTAGGATAGAGTAAGGAACTCTTAAAAGAATGACACAGGTCTAATTTTTCTTGAAATCTCTGAATTTTCGAAAATTGCAAAATCTATAAATAATGTGAGAAAGTGTATGCTGTTGTAACACTACTAGTTTACTTCGAAATTCTTGTAAGAATACAGTGAATACACTTATAAATAAGGTATATATCGATTTTCACGGTTACCTCTCAATTTTTGAAAATAAACACGTTGAAATTTTATTCGACATCTTCCCACAACTTCGTATTCATACAATATTACAGATAGAGATTTTTTCTTCAAATGAAGGTTGGTCTTCACAATCAGTTCTTTACCAAAATTACAGATTTTCTTCAAAATGTTAGAATTTTTCGCTCTATTTTAAGTGAAATACAATTAAAACAACAGTAAAACAAGATTTTCCCAAATACGGCTCCAATTTGTTTCTTTTACTTTCATATTCTTTTTCTACACCCCTTCCTGTTCAAATAGTGCTACATTCACTGAATACCATTTTGATGTATTTTATACTTTTTTTTAAATATTACGTAATTACTTTATACGTCTCATCTGTCAACATGTACATTAGGGAATTTTTGATACATTATTGCATTTGTGAGTATAAGTTATTCAGATTATAACTTAAACGATTCTCGAAAATTAACCTTTTTATGAGTTAAAATTTGGGTATTTGCAAAAGCGTTCAAACGACATTTCCTCACAACGGTTCCAAATTTTTCACTGAAAATTTGCATATAAAAAAGATTGGACTCTTCTATGATATCCTTAAAGTCAAATATGAATTGACGTATTAGGGGAGTGGAAAACTGAGAAAATGTGAAATAAGATGTATTTAAGGGGCGATAGCAGATGGAAAGAGGGGGAGGAAAACCGAAAAGCTGCTCCAGACTAAACATACACTATGTGGTCAAAAGTATTCGTCCAAAATGAAGTTTTTAATGGAGGGGGATTGCACCTCTCGTTCTTTCGTGTGGCACTATCACGGTACAGGCCTACGTTGATGTTTTAAACACCGTCTTGCTTCCCACTGTTGAACAGCATTTCTGGGATGGCAACTGCATCTTTGAACGCGCTCAAGCACCTGCCATACTGCACACGATTATACTGCACGGCCTGTGGCGCAGTAGTTACACGAAAATAACATCCCTGTAATGGACTGGCCAGCACAGAGTCCTGACGTGAATCCTATCGAATTCCTTTGGGATGTTTTGGAACGCCGACTTCGTGCCAGGTCTTACCGACCTACATCGATACCTCTCCTCAAGTGCAGCACTCCGTGAAGAATGGGCTGCCATTCCTCAAGAAACCTTCCAGCACCTGATTGAAAGTATGCTTGCGAGAGTGCAAACTGCCATCAGGGCTGAGGGTGGGTCCTATTGAATTCCAGCATTGCCGATGGAGGGCGCCACGAACTGGTAAGTCATTTTCAGTCACGTATCCGGATACTTTTGATCACATAGTGTATTAGGAAATCACCAGGAGGAGATTTTGTAGTATTCTGCCATTCTGTAACACAACTAGTTTAGAGTTCTTTACCTCCCGAGAAGCAATATTTTGGAGACTTATGAAATAAAAATAGTTCACTCACCATGGAGTGGCCCAAGTACTCTGCGGCGTTGTCGGAGATGTAGAGGAGTTTCCCGTTCTGCGTCATCATCATTAGGAAGCCGCTCAACGCCTGCAACAGAAAATGTTTACAATCAAACAGCTGCTTACGACTGAAGCATATTAAACTCAAAATGATAATGACATATACAAAATGATAAATACAAAATGAAATATATATTAAATAACATGTTTTAGCGTCCAATATTTGAAAAATGAATTATTTTCAATGCTTATTTTAATTCCAAGGTTAACAGAATAATTTTTCGTATTTGCAGAAAATCCTTTCCACATGATGAAAACACTGAGTTTTTTATATCACCACATCAAATTTTAAATATATCCTCTTTCCTTACACACACCTACACGAACATATCTCCCGGGATGAAGAAACTCACGACATCAACTAATGACCACAGCAGTTGAAGTGCCCGGAAACATCAGTCAATTAATCAATTAAAAGCAATCAAAAAGTACTCTTGATTTATGCCACTAGTTTGAATGTATTCGGAAGAACCCTTTAACTTTATCCTATTAGAATATCATACATTAGAAGTAAAATTATTATAGGCGGTTAATGCTTTTGAGATCGCGTGCTTTCAAATACCCAATCATACTTGCTTGTATTTGATCACCGACGAAAGAAACAACTCGGCATCCAATTGTAGCGTCCAAGGTGAAGAAATTGTTGATGGCACTAGCTTTTAGCAAGATATATTAATTCGATCTGGAGCGGCTTAAAAAATGATTAATGAAACAGGTAATTGGCCAGCGCTCCGCTTTGGTGGCGATGCGGTTGGGGGACGTTTCCTCGGGGGGGGGGGGGGGCAGAAGAGGAAAAAATGAGCACCTGATCATTATTATAGATTACGCCAACCCGGTCGCATTGATAATAAATTATACAACCCACCCCGCAGCTCAAATACGAAAATTATGGGTCATCGTGTGATTCTTGAGCACACACAGGGAAAAAAAACGATAAAACTCGCCTATGTACAGGGATATAATTACAAGTATTTTTCTTGTGCTAGAAACAATTACACTATTAGCTGTAGGCGCGCGGGGACCTACGGTTCCCAGGACGGGGAAAGCGGTGAATTACGGCTAAATTGAGCGGCGTCCGATTACCGCGCGTGCCCCGGGGGGCGATTAGGAGGCGGAGAGGCGCAGACGCGGTGGCGGCCCCCGCTCGAACCCCAACGCTTCTCGGCCCGCGAAGGAGTCGCAGGCGCGCGCGGATTCTGAAAATTCACTCTGGTTTCTGGCGCACCGCTGAACATTTTAATACTGCATTTCAAAAAAATGTGCATTCAATTGCCATCGCCTTACCATGAAGTTGCTAATGTTGCGCGATCACTACGCTCTATCCGAAACAAAGGGAAAAATAGGCGATTTGGTTTCCTGTTTCGAATATTAAAATAAATATTTTATATTATCATGAGAAAAAATACATGGCATGTTGATAGTACGTAATCAGAGGAATGAAGTTAAGTGTAATTAGTGAAAACTTTCAATGAGCACGTAAAGAACATGTTATTTATCTTTGGTTTGGGGTTTTGAATTGCATTGAAGAATTTTGTTCACATTTACTCATGTGTCTCACATAACTTTTGTTCGATGAGCTTAATTTCATTGTTTGATTAACTATTTGTACTTGGTAAATATGTGCATTTCGAAGAAAGGGGAGAAAAGAGCATATGAGTGGCTTGGCGCTAGATAGCTCTGTGCCACACTTGGAATAAAAATTAGGTAATCGAATTAACATATTTATTATATTACATTTTGTGCGAGTATTGTTCTGCTGGTGTAATAAGACGTTACAGTAAAGAGACATTTCTGCGTTTCTCTGTGGTAAGGATTGTCGGATTGAAACCTACGTCGAAACAAAGAAGCATACGAAGACTGCGAAGGGGAAGAGACAAAGGTGAAAACCATGGCTGCTAATTTCTGAAGGTTCCCCGGAGGGCATGCGCTCAAGGGAAGGCGCTGGTCGTCGATGTGAGCGGCGTCTGCGCACAGGCCATTGCCTTCGCCCGCGCCCGCGCCCTCGTCGCAAACGGCCTTCGGCCCCCGGTGGCGGCGGAGTCTCCCCGGCGCAAGTGCCAGCTGCGAGGGGATACGCGCGCGACGTACTCGACAAACTGTGCCGTCTCTCAATGTCTTCCTCGTTCAATCCATTACCATAGTGCTATCGAAAGAAACATCGTTTCTCGTTTGCGAAATGCAAACTCGTGCTCGAGATAATGTTCTCAAAACGTGAATAACTGCTGTTTGTGAACATGAAGATTATGAAGTGCGTCTTTATTCCTTTATATTTTTTTGATGCTCGTTGACATTTTTTGGATTCATAATATTTGAAGAATATTGTAATCTATTTACTCTAAAAATGTTGTCAATTATTCGATCAGCTTTAGATACAAGTAATAAATGTTTTATTAAAATATCGAACTATGAAATAGTGTTTGTATGTGAGTCGCCAGGTAACAGTTCTTTGCATATCGCCATTTTATGTAATGGTTTTATTCGGACCACATATATGTATCCACTTTGTGCTGTGTATCAGTATTGTAGACCTGGAAATATAGTGATAATTCTATTGATGAATAAAATATTGCATGTAATTTCTGAGTGTAGAACGCATCAGCATAAAAACAAGTGTAAGTGCATTAAGAGCTGTAGGACATGGCTATGCTTTCGGGCTTGCTCGCCGTAGCAGTCGTTGGCGCTCGTGGCCTGGTGCGTGGGGTGTTGAAGCGGGGTGGGGCGGGG